CGGTTGCTAGAAGTAGTCTCCGTAGGGTCAGGGGTGTATAGGTCAGAGGCCTTGGGGGTGCAGAGGTCACTTACGGCAGTTTGCAATGTGCACGAGTCACTGATTGAAGTCTTGGAAGTGCATGGGTCACCAACAACAGACTCGCTACTCCCACTGGCGGACTCACCAGGAACAGTCTCCAAATCGGGGTTGTTCGGTGACACCATCTCAGGAGAGGTTTCCCTCACCTCCGCAGAACAGTGTATCTTGGCAGAGTTGTCAGGAGGTGTTGAAAGTGTCACAGCTTCTGGGTCAAATGGGAACACTCCAGCCTTACGAAACCCACCCATTATGTTATTAGGAGTGATGGCCCCATACCACGCCTCTGAAAACATGGTGCTGAAGTTAAACCTATTTATGACCTTCCCTGGGTTCTTTTGGTAGAACTTGTGACACACCGTACTCCATTGCACCTTGAGCGGAGCAAAGACACCAACGTCCAGTGGCTGTGATTCGTGGGTCGTGTGCGGAGGTAGACAGAGGATTATACACTGATGTTCCATGGCGAATTTGATCACCTGCGGCTGGTAATGAGTGCTGTGACCATCTAAGAGAAGAAAAAGTGGGCGTGCGGAGACGGCATTCTGGATGAAATGCTCAATAAACCATGCCTCAAAGAGGTCTGTGTTAATCCATCCATTTGCACTCAAGCCATAGTTCGTGCCAACAACTTCCCCCTTGGCCCATGCTGGGTTAAGTTTAGAAGCGCTGAAAATAACCATGGGGGGAATTGCATGTCCCGCTGCATTTGCGCATGCCACAATGGTTATCTGACCTTTGCGCCCGGAACAACGGTATCGGACTTTTTTCATCCCTCGACCCTTTGGAGACACCACTTTGGGAGGACGTGGATTGAGAGGCACACCACTTTCATCTACATTGTAGATCTGCGCTGGTTTGTCGAGCAAATCATGTGTGGACAATGTATCGTGTAAGAGGGAAAAGTAGTGGTCAAAAGTCTCTCTATTCATGGCATCCATTCGCACATGCGCTGTAGCGTCCCCTTGTCTTAGAGAGAGATCTTTCTGCCGCTCAAGAAATCGGCGCCACCACCCCTGCGAGACTTGACTGGAGCGCAACACACCTTTCTCAGAGGCAGCATTCTGAACAATATTTAGAACATCTCTTCTTGTTTTGCCGTACCCAACCCTCGCGCAGTGCTTTAGGTACGTACCAAGCTCACTTTCCTCTTGGCAATTCAGGTAGCGTTGGGGTCCGGGGTTGGAGCCATGAACTACTTTGCCACTGACTCGATCATGCAAGGTGGTCTTGGGGACTCCGTAAACACGAGCGGCCTGTGAAATCGACTGTCCTCCTTTAACAGCTTCAAGGGCGGCTGTCATGGATTCTTCTTGCCAGTTCTTACGTCTTTTCTGTCTATTCGGACTTGTAGAACGAGGAAGACGGGCGGGTGCAGACCTCGAGCGCTTCCTGGCGAACGAGCACCTCTTGCGCGGCATACCCAGCACTCCTGGTGGGGCAATAAAGTAAGTAATAGCTGCCCATATAGCTGAAAAAACGACTTACCTAAAGAGAAAGACTGACGACAAATTAGCCGCGCGGAGAGGGTCCGCATACCTTCGTCTACCTCCGTTTTCAGCCGTATATTTCCTTACCCCTCGCAGGCCTCGCGAGCGTTCGATAATAGGTACCGTTCGATAATTGGCTCCATACGCTACTCAAGTAGTTATCGAGACACGATACAACTTCATTAGCTCCGCGATGAGCTACTGTTTCCGGTCAGCAATACATGGTGCTTGTCACAACTGTTGTGCACACAGAACACGTAGAGCCAGAGCTGTCGGAGGTAAAAAAATGTCGTTGGTTGGGATATGAGGAAGAGGCAAATTCTGCTCAAAATCGAATGACAGCCATATCAGTAGAGGTACGTAACTCGGAATAAGACTGCTGTGCTTTTCTGAGGTGCTCCTGCTTTTCCTTTTGTAGTCTGTGCACCTCTTCTGGATCGTCTGTCCCTCCCGGCGCTACCTCAATCTCATCACAGAGAGCACAAGTATCTGTCCTTGGTACACCAATGGACAAATTGAAATGTGTGTTAAATATTCCAGGTAGCACTCGTACTTCACTACTGGAGTTGCAGCCTCTCCCCGACTAAGCTTTTCCTACTGTTCGATTTGCAGGGAGTAGATGTCAGGGATACCTACTGATCTCCGCCTCAAAGCGATCTGCAAGGTGTGTGGGTAGTCCGTCAAATAATCCATAGAATCTCTGCTCGTTGGTATCAACGACGAGATTGCTGTTTTTCATACCCACCTTCAGTGCAACGTTGTCGAGGAACCGCTGAAAAGCAATACAACTCTGGGCTGCCGTCGCCCCAACCGGCGGGATAGCCACAGACGTGGGGGACGGGAGGGCTGCCGCCGCAATCGCTTCCAGGCCCAGCATAAAATGAATGTCATCTTCAAAAAAGGTTATCACCACTCCAGGGTCTACGTCCACGGACCCGCTGCGGCTGCAGCACGGGGAGGGTGACCTGCAGCTCTCCATCCGTGCCCTCTTTGGGCTGGGAGGTTCCACAGACGTGTCTGCCATTCAGCTCTCTCTGCCTCGAGTGCAAACGTGGTGGATGCATGCCAAAGGAAAAAAACTTAAACCGGAAGTAGACTATGCACGCATGAAATCATGTGAGTATACCGTAATTCAGCTGCATCCAGTTCACACTTCTGCAAATAAAGCTCGTGGATTGCAGCAACCGATAGTGACGACGACAAGAACTTTCTTCCCTTTGTACCCTTCGCCCTCCCGTAGTGACTTTCAGTCGTGGGGAAAGAAAGAATGTTCCCATGTATCTGCTGTTTGATATCCTCACCCTTGGCCTGTAGATTCGGCTGCTTTCCACGTTTATCGACTGGTGGTGTAGGTGACGTAGCTGCAAAATGGGCTAAGTGTGTGCAGGTTTTCACTTCCAAGAGGGGAAGAGGGTGAGTGCATTCTTTTCTTCCCCACTTCAGTTTGTGAGGAGGTCATCAGAGCTGTTAACCCCTCCTGTTTCTGAATATACTACGTATGTATGTACACCTTGGAGAGATAGGGGGATTGATAGTTGAGGAGAGCATCTTGTCTTTTTTTCGTAGTGATGAAAGTTAATAAGGAAAAACTCGGTGCACCTCTTTACACTAATGAGGAGGCGTATATTATCTTGTCTTCCCCACCAAATAAAGTCATTGGATCATCTTTGATAGAATTACCGGTTGTCTCTCTATTCTGACTAGCAAGCATCTCATTCCACGTTCCCTCACGTTATAGAAGTACATGAGGAGATGGCCTCCGTGTCTTTGATATTTTGTCTGCCTCAATGAGAACACTGTCTCTGTTCGTTTGTAGCTCCAGCTAAACACTGTGATATATCTTGAAGCATGGTTTATTTTCCAAATACTACTTTTCTTGAGGAGATAATTAGAGCAGTGAGGCCCTCCTGGTTCGAGGAGAGCATCTTGCCTTCACACACAATCTAATGTGCAGTGAGAAAGGTTTATACATGTAAAATTAGGCTTCGTTCTTTGGAGTAAGGAGGAGGCGACATGATCTAACCTTCCAATAAAGTCACTTTATCATCTCAGACAGCATTGTCCAGATGACCTTCATTCTGGCTGTTAACTTTAAAGCACGGCTTATCTTTCTAACTACCTTCCTTGAGGAGACAATTAGAGCTGCGAGGCACTCCTGGTTCTGTAAGCCATAATCACCTTGTCTTTATAACTTGTTACTCTTTCGTATGAGAAGGTTTAACGAAAGACCACCTGGGCTCATAGTAGCAATTAATTCACCGAGTCAGTGGTGAACTTCTTCAATAGCTACTACATCCTCTAGTTTAGATCACGGCTACTACAAATGGTGCGTTGAGACATTTGGTCATTATGCTGATAACAGGTCTGCTTTCATTCCGACTGTTAATTAACCGCTTGGGTGGGTGGGGTCTGGTGTGTATGTACAACCTGCGGCAGACGTACTGGTCCCTGAGCTTTGAGGAGCACTTCGCTGGATGATGGAGCGTTACCGCCTGGACACGGGCATCCGTGGACGCCATAGTTTGTGTCATTGATTGGGCAATAGCCGTCTACACTGACTGGTCCAGCCAGCATCGACTGAAAAGCCGAGACTGTGGCTGGCTGATGCAGAGGTCGATGACATCGTGGTGTCGGTTGCACTACTTGCCGTCGTCATGGCAGTGGAGGTTCCCGGCACTGGCAGTTGGTCAAGAGGTGTCTGTTGTGATAACCACTGTCGTACTAGTTGAGGCATCCATGAACTGAAAGCACTTCTTCCACGTGCCCTCATGTAAATGGAAGTAAAACAGTACATGGCCTTCGTGTCTTCGATATTTTGTCTGCATCAATGAGAACACTGCTGAAGTTCTCAACTTTCGTAGCAACACTGGGTCATAAAGCACGGCTACTTTTTCTTGAGGAGATAATTAGAGCAGTGAGTCCCTCCTGGTTCTGGAAGGAAGGCGAGTTTTTCACCGTCCTAATTGTGGTATATACATCTCTTGCTATTGAGTGTTGCCTTTTGTGAAAAGTCCAGTTCCTTGCTAGTCATTGCTGCCGAGTCTTCTTGCTTTCGTAGACACGAATGTTTCTTGGTGTTAGAGGTGATAATCACAATAAAACTCATTTGTACATGTAGAGTACGGCGCCAATTATCGAATTGAATCAGCTGTACATGCACATCAATTGAATCAGCTACATGCACATGATAATTCTGTCTCAATTGAATCAGCTACATGCACATAATAATTCTGTCTCAATTGAATCAGCTACATGCACACAATAATTCTGTTTCCATTGAGTCACTTGTGGGTGATTTTTAGTATTTCCTTCGTCTCTAAATGGAATGACAGTTCAGCGATATCAGGACCCTTCATTAGAGCAGTGTCTGTGGGAGGATGGTGCTGGGCCAACATAGTGAGCAATTCACCATGGGCCTCTACAATGTAGCTCTTCTTGTCGGCTAATACTCGCAACTGAACTTGAGTGAACTCTTCACAGACTTCATAATTTTGGAGAACATTGCATTCTTGCCTGGAGCACCTGCAATTTACCGTTGTTTCAACAGCCTCTTGAGATTTCTCCCCCACATTCTCTTGTGCGTTGCTATGAGTTTCTGGAGTGTGCCAATGGGATGGGACTATTGTTCACAGACCACTTTCTTAGAGAACTCTATTATGCAACCCGCTGGAAATTGGTCCGTGCAATTAGATCTAGCTGCCAGTGGGTGAGCATTCCGGTGCTGACCAATCGAAGAGCTGAAAGGTATATACAGTGGTCTATCCCATAAAATACCACCTTGATAGTGTTTAGATGTAGACAAATATCCTACTGACGATGTATTTTGGGATAGACCACTCTACCTCTCAGTCCACATTACAGGAAATGGCTGCATACCACATTACCACACTAGTCCTGAGTTCTATAAGTGCTGGCAAGTGCTTGAGGTAATGTTTGATGACATCACATCATTTTAATTGCTTTCTCTGCATTTTTGAGTGCACAGTTGCACTAATGCTCAAACTACTGTGGAAAGGGTGAAATGGTCTGAGGACCAAATACTGGTATTTGGCCATGGTGTTAGCCCAATTATTTACAAAGCATTGTCGGACATGCTTGAGGATGGCAACTATGTGTGGGCCATCAAAACTGTTTTGGTTCATTCCAATGCCCATTAGGTACCTGCGAATGCTTTGAAGCTCATGGTTATGCTCCTTCATTTCCGAGAAAGGATTTTCTATGGTATATCTAAAACTCATGGTCACAGATTACATAATAAATGGACCATAACATAGTGGTATTATTGCAACAAATGCTAATCTACGAATGCCATACACTTAAAAAAATATACTCAGAGATAAACTGCCAATAGAGTCAGACACAAGTAAATCCAAGCAGCAATGGCAGTGCTTACTGCTGTTCCCGATTCACGATCGAGGACAATATCATTTTCACAAAGGCCTGGAGGGTCTAACCCACATGCAATCATCACATCACGACCAAAGTGAGGCAACAGGACTTCATTGACTGTATCATTGAACAGATTGATGCAGCAACCGAACTCGTCTATTGCACTTTTCAGTGCACTTTTGCAAGATTCCGGACACATTTCAGAGGCGAATGACGAGTAATTTGCACACTGGGATATGGCTTCACTTAAAACAGGATGAGCATAGGCACCCTGCGTGGGATTAACCAGGGGATAGGAACGTTGAAGAATGCCCAAGCACAATCTCTCACTTGGACCTTGACCACATAAGTTGACAAAGTGTCTAGCAATTGGAATGCACTCTGGATTTTTAAGAATGTCGTCAACATATGGCTGACCTACTTCCGGAGAGCATAAATACTTCACAACACGACCCCAAAACTGTTGAAGGCTACAAGACTCTGCATCATCTGGTACCGTAATATCAAATTCAGACTCGCAGGGAAGTGGGGCTTCAACACTGCATGCAACCAATGCTGCTTGAATATTGTATCCAAAAACTAACCGAGAAAATCGCTCGTTGAAGACAGTACTAAAACAGCATTCTCCAGTAGCGATAGTAGCCTCCAAAAATTCCCTGCAACTTGCTGGGCAAGAAGAGTCTTCTGCCAAAGCGCATGTCGCTCCCTCTGTGACATTCAGCTCTGAAAAGACACCAAAACAAAAATCTCCATCGTCATTTGTTATGCATTGTGCTGCAGAATTTTCTACAAAAGCTGTGTAGTTTGAGCCACACTGCCGACCAATTTCTATTAGATCCTTTGAGTAGGTTGAAGAAAGACACGAATAGCGGTTGATGTTCTCCAAGCACCCTTCTGTTCCGACAGCCGTTTCCAGCACCGTTTTTCCAGAAGCAAGTACCGCTACACTTGTTATAATTACTGCTACACTTGTTATAATTACCGCTACACTTGTTATAATTACCGCTACACTTGTTATAATTACTGCCACATAATACGTCACCACAAACGCCATCCTTAGTTGATCTTTGTTCCATCACACACTTCTCCATCAAAGTACTGATTTCCAGCTACTTTACTCTTTTCAAAGGTGACAAAGTTACGCACTTTATCCGTCTCTTGCCTCTTCATACTTTGCTCAGATGTTTCAGAGGCTCTCTTGCGGGTTTTACACACTTTATCCGTCTCTTGCCTGCTCAAAGTTTGCTCAGGTGTTTCAAAGGCTCTCACATTCGCTTTTTGCATTCTACTGTGCTTCATTGCTTGAGATAATAGTCCAGTATATTGCCAGATTGCGCTTTACGCTTAGATGGGAAGGCATGGCCGCATCCACAAACTGCTCGTCTAACGTGAACTGCTGTGCTACATTGCGGACATACCTTGCTCAATTTGTTGTCCATCAACAACAGAGATCAACAATGACTGAGGAGAGATAAACCGCTTGCTCGTCCAAGGTCAAGAGAACAGAGATCAACAATGACTGAGGACAGAAACTAAAAAACCGCTTGCTTGTCCAAGGTCGACTAAAATAACCACGCGGAATCTAGCAGATGCGCATGCTCCGGCAAACGACATACGCGCGTGCGCGATGGATCGCTCGCGTCTGATGCTCCGGTAAAACGATATACCCACATACGCGCGTGCGCGATGAATCGCTCGCGTAAGCTTTTTCGCTTGTTTTCACACCATATCTCTGGAACGCAGTCGTTTCGGGAAAATCGCCACATTAATATCAATCTTCTCGTCGTTTACAACCCATTGGTGCCACTCATTGGCCGCCTCGTAGCCTGTAGTGCTAGAACTCGCGCGGACAGACGGAACGACTACTGTAACCCTCGCTGCGCATGCGCGCCGAGGGTTAATGAGATGGACCACCGGCGAAGAGATCATCCACGGCTTTCCCAATCGTGTGGAAGGCATAATTGAAGGGTATGTCACTAAGATTGTCTGGAATTTCGATGTCCAGCTCTATCGCTGCCACAGGAACAACCAGGTATGATCCTTGGCGGGACGATGGTGCTCTTGAGCGGGGGGGTGGACGGCCCCGGATAATCTTGCACCGGGCGCTCGGAAGAGTACGAGGATGGGTGCCAAGCACACCACAAAGGGCGATTTTCAGGAAATGTAAAGAGCTCGCACATGGCCACTCGTGCCTAGAGCGTTTTCTTGCAGAGAAGGCGCGTCTCCTGCGAGGCATGTCCGTCCAATAGAGTGATCCTGGAGGGTATTAAACAACTCGTAGTTATCAGTTCTATGCAAAAAGATTACAAAAATCTACTTTCACCGAGAATACTTGTCCTGGACAGAAGAAGTCCGTGTAATTTCCGCATTTTAGCGTATTCTTTTTGCCCGTGCGGGGGTTCGATAATTGGTACCGTTCAATAATTGGCAGTGTACGCTACCTTCAAATAATAGAACTAACGGTTGCGTCAGGGTCACTCCTGGGTGGTGCGATTAGTATTGGCTCTCAAAATACCACAGTGTGACATCGTGCTCAATTCTCTTTTTTCTAATGGCACATTTGTGCATGAACAAATTTTGGGGCCTAATTTAATGTATTGTTGTGTTTTGTGTTTTATTTCTCAGGTCTGGTCGGTATGTCGTAAACACTTCCTCTGATGGTGAGCACTTATTAGAGTCACCGGGACAGTCACCCCAGCAGCCCACTAGCGTAAGTCACGACGGTGTCTTGTAGCCACTGTCAATTCATACACCTACCTTAAGGCTTAGGTTCACAATGTGTTGCATTGCCTCATTGCGCTGTGCCGCAAAGATATTCTATCCTCGCAACGCGGCTAAGTGGCCCAGTGCGACGGGGCAATGCGACATAATTGTGAACCTAGCCTAAGTGTATGGATAGAAACTTTCTTTTAAGCTCAAACTCGTATAAGCTTCTCTTTCTCTTCTCAGTTTCTCATCTTTAGTATACTCTGGTTGTTACATCATGTAAGATACCATTCGTCTTTCTTTTGTCAAATCATCTCTCTTCATTCAACCCTTGTTTGTTTAATACTCTCTCTCATATCTCTCTCTCATATCTCTCTCTCTCTCTCTCTCTCTCTCTCTCTCTCTCTCTCTCTCTCGTATTTCTGTCTGTGTCCAGACAAGGAATCCAAAGGGAGACCTCTCTTCCGACGCAGCCTCTCACTCCCCGGGGTCAGACCAGACATCCATTGCCCTCCAACGGACTAGGAACCCTTGCTGGCCAGTGCAATGACCTCTCCGCAGAGACACAGACTCCGTCAGAGCCGCCCGCGGCCACCAGCAATAGCTACGACCACGTCAACGATACCCACGGTGGAACTGCTGCCACCAGTGGACGAGATGGCTCTGACCTCTCTGACAATTACGAGTGAGCCTCGCTTACACCATCAGCCCACCCGCTACTTAGGAGATTGCGAGCTCTGTTCACCTCTATATACACTTATTCGTGTGTTTTGGGTCCAGTTTAGCTTCATTGGAATGCTTATCCTTGCTTTTTTCCTGTGTTTGTTGATGCATGTCGACTGACAGCATGTTTATGTAGTGATTTGACTTACTTGGTCTTATTAGCCTGTGGTGTAGTGCATGTTTGAGTAACTATTATTTTGTACAATTGTATCTACAGCTTTCTCTCAAGGCAGGGTCTCATGCGTGATTCCGAATTAACAGAAGAACAAAGAGTGGAAAAGAAAAGGTAATCTACTGAAATTCTGATTTGACAGAACAGCTTGTGTATATACTCTGCTTTTATCACCTGTTTCTCCTTCAATCTGTGCAGTTCATCGCAGGCTGTTGTTTACATATAATCATGCTAATGCCTGAATCTGTGATTGTGATAAAAATTCCCATCCTAAAAAATTTTCGCATTAATTTGTCTGTTCATTTATGCTGCAAACACACACACACACACACACTGTTTAGATTGGAGGCTTTGGAAGCTCTCAACCAATATGATCAGGAAGTACAGGGCTCTAACAGAGTAGACATATCCTAATAATGACTCTGCCTCGATTTCTGATCTCCCTCTCTGTTTTTATTCACACTATTGTATGACATTGTTAATATCAGACGTTGTAATGATTTGGATATGTCTCTACCAAACATAGAATTTTCTTATGTAGTCACTATACATTCACAATTGTGTATGGCACTCTATACCACTTGTTGAATACACATTTTTACTGTGTAAAGTCTTATCTTGGGCCTATATAGATGGTCGAATTTACAGCGCGCACACGTGCTTAGATTCATTTTATGTGGAGAGGACATAATTATGATTGGGCAGCAAAACAATTTTCACGGTTTTGTTCTAAAAACCTGGTATTTCTCGTGCGGTGCATCCTATATTATAGCATAGCTATAGGCCCTGTCACAAAGTTAATGCTCTAAAAATCAACGTGTGCCACCTTGGCTCGATGCAAAGTACGCTAGAATTCTTACAATACTCAAAGTTTCCCAACAAAGCTGCCTATATCATTTCTTGATTGGTTGAGCCTGCCTAGTTTTTGTTTAAAAAAATTAATGCTGAGCAACTTTGTGCCAGAGCCTAAACGTATATAGCCTGTAGTGCCAGAACAGCTGCAGACAGACACGGCATATGCCAGCTCACTGAGACTCTGACAAGGCCAATTAGATAGTGCTTTAGGGCACCCTTCATTGTATATATGACACTGGTAGCTACTGCCACAGTGCATAAAATGGGGTCGAGGTAAACATTGGCTTGTTCGAAAAATAGGGAAAAAGAGCTGTCGTATGCAACCCAGGACACTGCACTCTGAGATATCTAGCTACCACAGATCTGTATAATTATACAACACAAGACAAAAAACAAACCTCAAAAACATTCTATATTTATTATATGGCACGGTATATACACTTCTCACTCAGCATGAGTATCAGCAGAAATCTACAGTGGAACCTCTCTAACCAATGAGACAGAAGATTGGACAGGTTTCTTAATTAATATTATTTTCAAGGGTGCAAGAAATATTTTTAGGGAGTAATGGTGTCCAGAGAGAAGTTTACTCATTTCAGGGGTTGCCAAAGGATGTATAAGCTTATAGTATATTTATTATAGTAGAGTAAAATAATTATTATTTGGGGTGAAGTGATGTACTAGCTAGCGCTGCTATGATTTATGTCAGGACACTCTTGGCAAATTCACCCTTCTCTGTAATGTACCTGGCACTGTCAGTATAATAATAGCTCAGTTGGTAAAACGCTTGTCTAAGTGTCATGGGTTCGAATTATCCTTTTCATCTGGCAACCGTACTTCTATACCTCCTTCCATAAAAATTGCTATTATTATCACGATGGGTTTGATACGTTAGCTGACAGTGTATCGGTATTAGCTAATGGAACCTCGACGCGCATGCGCAGCGAAGGTTATGTAGGGTTTGGCGTGTCTGCTATTCTATACTACTGCGAGGCGACAAGTGAGAGGCACCAACGGCTTCGGAGCAACGAGGACATGGATGTTAAAATGCCGATTTTCCAGTAAATGACTGCGTTCAAGATAATAGCGTGGAAGACGAGTGAAAAAGCCGATATGTGCAGATGAGCATGGCTTACGTCGATTGATGCTTGCTCGATAAAAGGACTGTGGGGCATAAACTTACTCTGAGGACGAGTATCGCAGTCCAGCGTTGTTAGAAAACAGCAGCCACTTACGCAACTATATACCCCGACATCATCCGCAACTGGCCTTCAATATAGCGGCGCTTTGCGCATGCATAGATAGTGACGTCGGGGCGGGCTGCAGTGCAGTGCAGTGCAGTGCAGCATCCTGCGGCGAGGTTCTCTCAAGGGATTTTCCATTCGATCATGAAGGATGAACTGGTATTATACTTATACGTACTATACACCCCTGAACATCTGTGAATTCCCCGCTATAATCAGGCATGCGGTGAACTGGAAAACACACACACGTGCGGTATACACAAGTCCAAAGTACATAGCCAACTACCGTAGTTTGCTCTAAAAATAACACTATTCCGGAAACTAGCCTCTGTGAACTCAACCACGTGTGTAGAAAAATTGAGTTCTGACTTTCCCTCACATGGTGTGCGTAATGATCAAGAGGTTGGAAGTCCTTCGCCAGCGCAGTCTCCAAGCACTGCGACACAGCACTCACCTGGTGAAAACGCAAACCTACCCATTGAAGACACTCGTCAGCAGCAGTTAATCCAGCTGCAGTGTCAAATCCAATCTCTAAAGGCTAATCAAATGAGTTTGGAAAGAGAGAAAGAGAAGGAGAAGAGGAGATGCAATATTCTGCTAGGAAATGTGGAAGAGAATGAGGACATTTACTAGACTCCTTCTCTCTTCTCTCTCGTGCTTCGATAAATCCTCCATCACAAACATTCCAGACCCACTTAGCCTTTTGGCTTGCTTCAGGACATTTAGTTTGTCTTCAAAGCATTTCATTTTCACAATTACTAGTCGTCTTTTGCTAGGGGTTGGTTTGCCCAGCCTTGTGACATACAGCGGAACTTGGTCTATTCGAAGTTTTTCCTTCAGGATTGTGCCAACCTTCTCTCTTGTCTCTAGTACAGATTCAAACTCAGGCATGCGGTGAACTGGAAAACACACACCGTGAACCGGAATACATGTACTGTGAATCATTCCACAGAGAATTATACTTGCTGTGCTTCTAATCATATATAGCTATATATACCAAGAAGGTTTATTAGAGTCAATTTCCGTACTATCTTCCCCGTATATTGTTATGCTAGTTATACAACTCTATACTTCGCGTAGGATAACGGTCTGCACAGCGGCAGCACATTCAGAGGATAGCTCGAACGCTAACTGTGTCCCTACAGATGCACAAGGCCACTTATTCGGGAGTGTTTCCATGTTAATGCCACGTTAACGGGGAAGCCTAGGGCTCCGAGGCTATTGCTACGCTATATACAGAGAGGGAAACTTGGCCGTGTCTGTGCGGTCAATCGCGCGCAGAGAATCCGAGACGGGATTCCCCCATATCCTACTACGTACGCGCCGTACTTTCAGTCTATACCCTTTCAGTAAGGATGGTAAGACGACGGAGCCACGGCCAGCTGCACGAGTGTAGTGAAACGGGGAAAGCCAGGTTCACGGGAAACGAGCAAGCTTCGGAAGCAACCATAAGGAAAGCAATGCTATAAAAAGCGTTAACTACATTGCTGTGGGCAGACAAATAAACTGGATTGCACGATCATCCCAATTGCGTTAGCTACAAGCAGGATGTCGGGAATGCACAAAGTTTGTCTGATCGTTATCGTTCTCCTTGTGGTGCAAGGTGAATAGCATGCAACGGCGCATCGGCATAAGTATATATAATATACTAAAAGCGGGTAGATCGCGCTCGCCTGTCTGCAGAGTATAGCTTAATCCCACCCACAGGCCAACTGGCAGCTCATGATCATTGTGACTAGACATGTTGTTATTTTGCCTTTGCAGGAACCCGTGGCAACACCCTCGGAGTGGCACCGTCTCTAAGAGAAATGTGGGCTGAACTGATGGGGGGAACATCCACGACAGCAGGTGTCTGCGGCAAGGGCTGCTACGTGGAAATCGCCGGAACGGCGCATTTCTTCGAATACCAATATTTTGACAAGACAAACCCGTGCAAAGAATATATTTGCGACGTAAGATGAATAGCTAATTTTCATACAGGAAAAAAACCAATGTGCTATTCCTTTACAGACCGCTAGTGGAAATGTGGTGACGCAGATGATCACTTGTGCTGATGACCAACCTTGTGAAAGTCAGACACAAAAAGTGTTTTTGCCAGGAAAATGCTGCCCCCAATGCAGTAAGTTAGTGCATTGACTTGGAGTAATTGAGTGAGCAAATTTTTGTATCCGGCCAACAGGAGGTGTAGATGTAGATGTGCCGAGAGTTACAGAGTGGTCCGAATGGACAAAGTGCAGTGAAACATGTGGCCTAGGACAGAGAGCAAGAAGCAGGACCTGCATCGTACCCGAGAATGTTCCAAACGTGGGGGATTGTTCAGGAGTCCCACTGCTGGAGTTTGGAACATGTAACCTCACTCCCTGCCCTGGTATATATAGCCTATACTGATAATTAACCATCGGCGCGCATGCACAGCGAGGGTTACATACTTGTGTGTCCGTCTGTCTGTCTGTCTGTTACCGCCATCACGCGCAAGAAACCGGCCAAAGAGCGATAGTAATGGGTTCAGTGCTACACTGGCTTGATTTCTAAAAGGCGATTTTCATAAAACTACTGCGTTCAAGTATAGCGTGAAAACCGAGTGCAATATAAATTAGCCTTACCTGTACCGGGTCCGCTTTTTCTGTGTATTTTGGGGCGTGTATCGACTTGCTGCTATCTACTATTATTATACTGCAGCTAGCCCGTGTCAGACTCTCTGCGATCTACCAGCGGGAGACCACGAATGAACGCATACTAATAGCCAGCCCATCAATTTGCGGTATCGCGCATGCGCAGTTCGCCGAGGGTTTACACTTTAGTGCTTTTCATCATAGTAGTGCCATAGCTACGCAACGTGATCTTGGCAAGCTTTGCTAGTCAGTGGTTTTGCAAGTACATTACGTATCATGTCGGAAAGCCCCTTCGATCCTCAGTTATTAGCACAAGTCATGTGGCGTGGCCACAACCATTCATTGTGGTATATACCTATAATACGGTTACACAGTCAGCGCTGAGGAATGTGGCAGAGTGTAATTGTAAGAGCTAAATTTAGAAATGTTACTACGATGGAACATAACAATAGGGACACAGTGAAAGAATTAAGTTCTGTTTAGCCCATGATACTACCACATTCTAAATTTGGCTCACTCAGTAGATCCCACTCTCTGTAAGAGTACAGCCAAAGCCGAAATTGTTAGGAACATGGAATTCTCTTAGGTGTGGAATGCAGAAGCAATTACATAATGAAAAGCACTGAAGAGCAAACCCTCGGCGCACTGTGACGCGCACGCGTAAGTAAACGCATGCGCCGTACCACTATTGATGGGCTTGGTTTAGTTTTAGCTGCTACTCGTGGTCTCTTGCTAGCTCGCGCAGAGTCTGACGCGGGCTAACTACAATACTAGATAGCATGCGAGAGGCGATTCACGCCCTGCGTTGCATCTTCTGGTGCCTCCGAAGTACGCAGAGCACGCGGATCGATCCGACTGTGGTAAGCCGTTGTGTATTTGTATATTGGGTTTTTCGCGCTCTAGCTTTGGAACGGAGCAGTTTCAGAGAAAACCGTTCGAAATTTCTGACCTTCATTGCCCGTTAAGTAGGTCGTATCCTTTTTGAGACGAACAAACACCCGAGAAGTGAGATTGAGAGTAACAGACAGACAGACACACAGACAGACTCAAGTACTACTGCGCATGCGCGCCGAGGGTTAATAACCACGCGGAATCTAGCAGATGTGCATGCTCCTGCAAACGCGTGCGCGATGGATCGCTCGCGTCTGATGCTCCGGCAAAACGATACACCCACATACGCGCGTGAGCGATGAATCGCTCGCGTAAGCTTTTTCGCTTGTTTTCACGCCATATCTCTCGCAGTCGTTTCGGGAAATCGCCACATTATTATTACTAATCTTCTCGTCGTTCACAACCCGTTGGTGCCACTCATTGGCCGCCTCATAGCCTGTAGTGCTAGAACTCTGGCGGACAGACAGACAGACGGACAGACAGAACGACTACTGTAACCCTCGCTGCGCATGCGCGCCGATGGTTAATTATACACATCTACTAGTGGAATGCTTGGCATTCTTTTGGCGAGCGGAGCGAGAACTCAAGTACGTATATACTAGGAATGCGCACGCGCATATTATGCCTCGCGCCTGTCAGCCAATGCGTAAACAGTCCGATTGAGGCCGCTCGTGCGTGCGCACGCTCTACTGACTGCGCGAAGCCAGACTTCCTACGAATCTGCGCGCACGGCGGAAGCTAGACTTCCTAGGAATGACTTCCTTTTGGTTACTAATTGACATTCCTAAGCGTGACTAATTGACGACGTACATACGCATATCGCGAGAATACAACCCGGAGATTCGCTGTCTGTTTTTCTTCGACGAAGAACACTATCCTCCGCGGATGAATCTATCTCCTTCGAAGCCAACTGGACGGGCTGTAAGAGGATGGAGAAAGTTTTCCGCACAGTAATAAGAAGCGCGTAATATTAACGCATGCGCACTAAGACGACGACGGTGCGTCGATCGAAAATTCGTCCGAAGACACACCTAGGAGGGCTCGCTCCGCTCGCCCAATAATTAAACAAGATACAAAATACCCTGCATGTCTACATACAGTTGACTGTGAATGGGAGTATGGAAGGTGTGAGAGGTGTTCGGTAACCTGTGGAAGTGGGACAAAACTGTGTCCACCAGTCATCAGACAGAAACCACATCACGGAGGAAGAGATGCCCTGATTTTGTTCGCAATGAAGAGTCACAACTACTTGAGTGCACGGATCTTGGACCTTGCCCACCTGGTAGCTATGATAATAATATAATTATGCTCCATTTAGCTAGCTTAAACCAAGGTGCCTAGAACTGATAAGACTTGGTGTCCAACACTGCTGTGTGCATTATCTGTGTTCACTCTGTAGTTGACTGTGTAATGGAGTAGGGAAGGTGTGAAGAGTGCTCGGCATCTGTGGCGTGGAGTGTGGACACGACAGTGTACACCAGTCATCACACAGGAACCACAGCATGGAGGAGGATTGTCCTGCGTTCGTTCGGCCAACGGACGTCAAAACTGTTAGAGTGCACCGCCTGCGACCTTGCCACCCCTGGGATAGTATAATGTATAATAATGGGCGTTTTTGTCTCATTCACTTTCAGTGGCAGATCCAGGGGGTTCTTTGGGTTACATGGAACCCCTATTTTTTTTATCATTTTGCTCGCATGCGTCACCTGCCTCATGCGCGCGAACACGAGAGCAGTAAAAAAAACATTGTGGATAGTAGAACCCCCCTTCAAAATCCTAGATATGCTGACTTTAATTTAATTAAATGGGTGTTACGGCTCTGTGAAAGCATCAGACACCATATCCTTTGTCCACTCTGCAGTGACTGCGATGGGAGTATGGAGACTGTGACAGTTGCTCGGTCACCTGTGTTGGTAAAGGGAATCACTTCTGTCAACCAATCATTACGCAACAACCACAGCACGGAGGAAGAGAATGCCCTGATTTTGTTCGCAATAGACAGTCACGACTACTGGAGTGCACCCATCCTAAACCTTGCCCTGGTAAAATCTGAAGTCTATTTCGATATTTATGCCAATGCATGCCACTTTAATGATGAGGGCAAATTAATACATAGCAAAAACCAATGTCCTTCCGTGCCTCCAACTAAATTTCTAGGTCACCTGTACAGATTTCACAAATTTGTTTTACATGTTTTTGCAGTTGACTGTGAGTGGGAATACAGAGATTGCAGCTCCTGCTCACCATCTTGTGGCTCTGCAACCAAGACCTGCACTCCATTCGTCACTAGAGCTGCAGAAAATGGAGGAGAGGAATGCCCTGTGATTGAACCGGTGGAAGTGGAGTGCACTGATCTTCCAGAATGCCGTAAGAAAGTCACATCACTAAGTATTAATTGTTTTGTTACAGAGTAAGGCATGATAAGCACTTGCGGCTTTTGATCAACAATTCTAGTCCTGTATTTGTACACAAGCTGCATTGTAGGTGCCACTGAATCCACTCTAGCTATTTATTACACAATCAACTAGTATAAAATTCTGGGGTTTTAGTTGTGCAGTAAGGTGAAGCAGAAAGAGAATAGAAGTAGTTCACAGATAATTGTGACTCTGTCATTCCCTATTGTTTCACGTGTATTAGCTGCTTAAGTTAAACTGTATAGGTTAAGAAGGTTTTTAAGCTTGAGAGTTACCAGTGCAGTCTGTAGTACTTACATATACCTATGCCTTCATACATGACCTTCATATCCCTTACTATCATGCTATTTTTAACTCAGCCTGCCCTGAGGGTTATCATGAGTGTACAAGAATAGACGGCAAAAAAGGCGTGCTTACGTGACACAGTAGACACAACTGTGAATGCCTTCTGGAAAGCCGGAGTCGTCGTCTGGACTGGGACGGTGACTTCATACGTGATGACTGTGACAATTGCCCAAAGGTTATAAATCCTGGTCAAAAAGATAGTGACAGCAATGACATAGGTGACGAATGTAACTTATGGCTGCTAGAGAGCAAGAGCTGATGGCCCCAATTGAAGGAGATTGCTGCTGCAGTAAGTAATGGAGAAGTTGGTGGAAATGTACTACATAAATAATAAGAACTTTGTTGTTGAAGGGTCAAGACTTATAGCCAGCTAGTTAGAGTTTACGTAGAGTTTACAGTGACAGTTTTGTATTAGCCATGTCATGCACAGCAAGGGCGACAGTTAGCTACTTGGTCTATGAAAGTTTGTGTAATAATCTGTTATTCAACATCACAATCATTTTGCAGTGAATCAGATTCTCAGCGGTGGTCAATATTATTATGTGAACGATTTGTAGCAAGGCTGGAGGTAGTAACCGTAATAAAACTGCTATAATAGTATGTTTAGCTGCTATCTTTCTTGGGAGTCTAAGGAGTTCGGGAGTCAGGGGAGTCTATATTGGGAGTCATGGGAGTAGAGGGAGTCAGGGGAGTCTTTATTGGGAGTCTAGGGAGTCTGGGGAGTCAGGGGAGTCTATATTGGGAGTCATGGGAGAGTAGAGGGGAGTCAGGGATGGGAGTCTAGGGAGTGGGAGTCTCCGGCATCATGTTTCTCTGGAGTTAGGGGTGGAGTCTGTGGAGTTAGGGGAGTCTAGGGAGTCAGGGGAGTCAAGGGAGTCAAGGGATTCTGGGGGTCGATGGAGTTTAAGGACACCAGAGAGTCTGGTGGGTCGGAGGAACCAAGGGAGGATGGAGGACATTAATTGTCAAAAATAGTACCACTATTAATGTCTAGCGAAGCAAAACACAAGTGCAAGGGATAAGATGGTGTGAAGCAAAAAGCACTGAAGTGTAAACCCTCGGCGCACTGTGACGCGCACGCGTTAGTAAACGCATGCGCCATACCACTAATTGATGGGCTGGGTTTAGTCCTAGCTGTTACTCGTGATCTCTGCCAGCTCGCGCAGAGTCTGACGAGGGCTAACTACACTATTAGATAGCACGCGAGATGCGATACACGCCCTGCGTTGCATCTTCTGGTGCCTCTGAGGTACGCAGAGCACGCGGATCGACCAGACTGTGGGTAAGCCATCCCTGCATATTGGCTTTTTCGCGCTCTAGCTTTGCAACGGAACCGTTTCAGAGAAAAACCGTACAAAATTTCGGACCTTCATTGCCCGTTAAGTAGGTCGTATCCTTTGTGAGACGAACAAACACTCGAGAAGTGAGATGTAGAGTAACAGACAGACACACACACAGACAAACCCAATGAAAAGCACTAAAGTGCAAACCCTCGGCGAACTGGGCACCGCTAATTGATGGGCTGGGCTGCTATTAGTATGTAGTATACTCATGGTCTCCCGCTAGTAGCGTCTGACACGGGCTAGTAGATAGCATGTGGGAGTCGATACACGCCATTAGTTGTGACTTCTCGTGCCTTCAAGATACACAGAGCAAGCGGACCTGAGCCTGTTTGAAAATATAAGCGCATGCGCATTTTCCGCAGCGATAAAAATGGCCGACTAGCATTAGCCGTTCAATGGCGGAAGCGCTCTAGCTTTGCAACGAAGCATTTTCAGAGAAACCGTCCACATTTCTGACCTTCATTGCCGTAGGTAGGTCATATCGTTTGCGAGACGAACAGATATTCGAGAAGTGAGATTGAGAGTAACAGACAGACGACAAACCCAACTACAGTACCTCGCTGCGCATGCGCGCCCGAGGGTAATAAAAAGCACTGAAGTGCAAAACCCTCGGCGCATTGTGACGCGCACGCGTCAGTAAACGCATGCGCTGTATTACTAATTGATGGTCTGGCTGTTACTCCAGGTCTCTAGCATCTCGCGCAGAGTCTGACGCGGGCTAACTACACTACTAGACAGCATGCGAGAGGCGATACACGCCCTGCGTTGCATCTTCTGGTGCCTCCGAGGTCACAGAGCACGCGGATCGATCAGACCGCGGTAAGCCATCCCGTCCGTTGCGTATTTGCATATTGGCTTTTTCGCGCTGTAGCTCTGCACGGAGCATTTTCAGAGAAAACCCCACAAACTTTCTGACCTTCGTCGCCCGTTGGGTAGATGGCATCGTTTGTGGGACGAACAAACGTTCGAGGAGTGAGATATAGAGTAACAGACAAACAGACAGACAGACCCAATGGCAAACCCTCGGCGAACTGGGCATGCGCGGTACCGCTAATTGATGGGCTGGGCTGCTATTAGTATGTTGTATACTCGTGGTCTCCCGCTGACACGGGCTAGCTACAGTAGTAGATAGCATGTGGAGTCGATACACGCCCTTCGTTGTGACTTCTCGTGCCTTCAGATACACAGAGCAAGCGGACCCATATAAGCGCATGCGCATTTTCATCAGCGATAAAAATGGCCGACTACGCATCAGCCGTACAATGGCGGAAGCGCTCTAGCTCTGCAACGGAGCATCTTCAGAGAAAACTGTTCGAAATTTCTGACCTTCATTGCCCGTTAGGTAGGCCTATCCTTTGTGAGACGAACAGACACTCGAGAAGTGAGATTGAGAGTAACAGACAGACATACAACTACAGTACCCTCGCTGCGCATGCGCGCCGAGGGTAATGACAGCACTAAAGTGCAAACCCTCGGCGAAGTAGCTCGCAGAGTGTCTGACACGGGCTAGCTACAGTAAGATAGCACGCGAGAGTCGATACACGCCATTCGTTGTGACTTCTTGTGCCTTCAAGATAGACAGAGCAAGCGGACCCGGTGGAGGTAAGCCTTGCTAAATATAAGCGCATGCGCATTATCCGGCAGCGATAAAATGGCGACTACCGGCATTAGCCATACAATGCTGGAAGCGCTCTAGCTTTGCAACGGAGCATTTTCAGAGAAAACCGCACAAAATTCTGATCTTCATTGCCCGTTAATTATGTAGTATCGTTTGTGAGACGAAAGAACACTGGAGAGTGAGATGTAGTGTAACAGACAGACAGACACACAGAACGACTACAGTACCCTCGCTGCGCATACGCGCTGAGGGTTAACAAGGGATGGGCCCACAGGATAGGCGCACACAACTGCAAGATGCCATCACTATTATTTTTGTGGCGCAGACTAGTAATAATAACAATATATGTAGGAATGGTGTCAGCATGCACGTAAGCTGTGAACCACTCCTTCTTCAGTCCTTTTTGGTGCTTCACACTTCACTTCCTTTGAACAATGATCTTTGCACTTATAAAATCGCTCCAATGACACTGCATGTGACTCTCTCTCTGGTCACCCAGAAAATAACTATGTATAGGTTATGTGTGAATTTCATATCTGCATTTTATTGGTTCAGATGCTAACATAAAACTGAATAAGCTGCTGTATAAGAAAAGACACAATAATAGACTTCTATGAGTGCTAGACAGAGAAAGTAGTATAAATCTCCAGCAATTTTTCCATGATGAGAGCAACAAAAGCACAAAGGGCGATTTTCAGCAAATGTAAAGAGCTTGCATGCAGGGGGTGGGTAGCTACCAGTTCAAGGAGGTGATCTACTGCAACATAGGAGACGTTCAGGCCATGGGAAACCAGCCCATCACGTACATCCGCCAGCCGCACATGGCTACTCGCGCCTAGAGCGTTTTCTTGCAGAGAAGGCATGTCTCCTGCGAGGGATGTCCGTCCAAAACAGTGATCCTGGAGGAACTCGTAGTTATCAGTTCTATACAAAAACCTACTTTCACTGAGAATACTCGTCCTGGACAGGAGACGAAGAGACCCCAGCAGCTTATTATAACTGTCTGATTAATTAGTTATAATACCGTTCATACACCTAACTTAATTTTAGAGTTTATCAGACCTTCTTACATAATTCTGCGCCTTTTCCCTTAGGCTCTTGCGTGATACCTGCCATAAAAGCAGAAAGAAATATAGTTGCAGTTGAAGAAGACAACATGCTGTACATCCATAGAAAAGTCATTGTAACGGAACACTTTCCTGTAGAAAAAACAGGAACAAATTCTGTATCTCTTTCTTGATTTATTGTTGTTTGTCTTAAATTTGTCTTTTTTTCAATTTCAAGGAATTGTTAAAATTGAGGTGATTTGGCTGAACAGTTTCTGCACTATTGAACAATCTTGGCAAAAATCAGTGAAATTAGCAGAATGCCTCTGAACATTCTGAACACTTCTGAATGAATGTACGGTATTATAACTAATTAATCAGACAGTTATTAATAAAATAGAATTTCCGCGGTTAACGTTTACTCGTGATCTCCCGCTAGTAGCTCGCGGAGAAGTCTGACACGGGCTAGCTACGGTAGTAGATAGCATGCGGGAGTCGATACACGTCCTTCGTTGTGGCTTATTGCGCCTCCGAGGTACACAAAGCAAGCGGATCAGGTCGGGGTAAGCCAGTGCTAATTAGCATATTGGCTTGTTCACTTGGTTTTCACTCTGAACGCGGCACTTACGAAAATCGCCTCTGAAAAAAATGCAAAACCCCGGCGAACTGCGCATGCGCGATACTGCTAATTGATGGGCTAGGCTATTTGTACTCGCGGTCTCGCGCTAGTAGCCAGCGGAGAGTCTGACACGGGCTAGCTACAGTAGTAGATAGCATGACATGCCATTCGTTGTGACTTCCTGAGCCCCCAAGGTACACAGAGTGAGGGGATCAGGTCGTGGTAAGCCAAGTGCTATTATGCATATTGGCGTTTTCGCTTGTTTTCACGGCATATCTCTCGAACGCAGTCGTTTCAGGAAATTCGCCCTTTCGTTTTTCAGGCTCGCGTAGTTCTGAAGCCGTTGGTATCGCTAATGGGCCACCTCGTAGCCTGTAGTGCGAGAATAAGCGTCGACCACACACACACACACACACACACACACACACAGAGACAGAACGACTACAGTAACCCTCGCTGCGCATGCGCGCCGAGGGTTTTAATAAACCGGCGATGCGACACCAAGAAATCCTACGTCTGCATGCATCTTAGCAGTGTTACCGTGTTAGTTCCAGTTATTAAAGTCAACTTTCCCAGCTGATGTTTTCGTCCTTGCCTATGAAACACCGGCTACCCGTATACACAGGTCTCGGGTCGACCGGACGCACAGCCGTTCTTAGTCACACTTTCGAAACTTCTTCAGTTGATGCAGAAAAATGCGACAGATTGGAACCGTGCACACATTTCTGTATGTCTTGACTGTATATACGCGCGGCAGGTGCTTCCGTTGTGAGCATACTTATATAGGTCGTAAAACAAACACACATGCGCAATCTAGAGTCTGAGACGATCCCATTAACTTGCCTCCCCCCCTCCAGCGCTACTTTGCAGATTTTTGCAATCGCTTCGGCACCGGTGCTATAGTTGCGCAGCGGCCGGTCGCCATGGCTCCACTCGGTTCATCTCTTTTTGTGCTCATATGCTGCATATTTCTCTACGCCGGCAGAATCCAGGGGCAGAGGTAGCTAACTTCTATGTGTGTAATTGCAATAGCTACCGTATTATGGATCTTTGTTCAATAGCGGTTATAAGGATGACGGTGAGGGACATTACAGTGGAGGTGAAGAGAGTGGATCTGGGGCCAGCGGCAGTGGTGACGACATGAAGGAGGGAGATGAGGGATACGTGGGAACTGAGAGTGAACTGGCAGAGTGTGTGGATGTTCTTCACAGAGAAGATGACGAGGGAGATGAGTTGACCTCTTCCACAGCCTACACTGCTTCCATGTGCAGTGTCCTCTGCATGGATAGCATCACTAACAGCCAACCCTACCAGGTGTGTGTGTGGCTATAATGTGTGTGTGAGTGTGTTACCCTTACTTACAAGGGTAGTTTGAAGCCGTGAATTGCTTAAAGCTGAAAGGGAGTTTAGAGATGTTGCTTTTGAGTCCCCATCCCCTCCCTGGCTTGCTGCTGTTGTTTGTACCAAGCACCACCAGACACTATACTCACTGAAAATAAAACTGCTTGTACCCACATTGAACAAGGAAGATAAATAAGGTGTTTACAGGAATGGGTCTAGCTCACCTTATATACTGCCTCTGCCTTATGTTAGGATGTTCAGCTGGAGAATGTAACCGCTGGAGGAGGAACGTGGGTGTTCAAGTCATTCCCACAGTTCAACTCAGAGAATGAGAAGACAAACTGCAAGACCTACCAAAAGGTCTCAGACTGTTATACTGTGTTGGTGCCTAACTAAGTAAAATTGACATGCATGTATTGCTCTGTAGTTTGCCGAGCTTGTCAGAGGTTGTCTGGTGAGAGTGGAACCAACTTTAGCTCAGCTCACCCGTCGGGGCTGCAGGGATGAATGTGTAAGATTTGCTTGTTATTCTCGATGAACACTACATCTATTGTAACTGTATTTGACAGAAAGGGCAGTGTAGGGAGGAGAGAAATATTGATGACCACTACTTCAACCCGTACTGCAGAATTGACTGTGTAAGTGTTCAACATGACATCATCAACTTCATAACAAATTGTTCCATTTTTATGTGCTGCAGAATGGAACCGTCTGCAGACAAGGTTGTGACAACTACGAGAGGATTGTGCGCTCCTTCAATGCAGCAGGTAGCTTGTGAAACTGCACACTATGCTACTGGACTACAGTGGAATCTCCTAACAAGGGACATTATGGGACCAATGGTTTTTGTCCCTAGTAGAGAGGTCGTCGTTCCAATCTAGGAGGTCAAAAAATACAAATTAGCATGGGAAAAAGTGTTCTTGTAGAGAGGTCGTACCTATCTCAGAGGGTCCCTTATCAGAGGTTCCATAGTGTGTTGTAGAAAGGTGTTGTATATAAGGGTAGTGCTAGCGCGGATGATCCCCTGCAGTGTGTGTTGTAGTTAGGATAGAGCATGGGTTTTTATTGTTCAGGGTCTCCACCAAGTCCTGTCCAGGGACCGCAGTTAGTGTCCTCTACCTTACTGGGAGATGTCATATTGAGCATCTCAGAATCTGCTCCACCACCTAACTCTTTCTGATTGTCAGGGGAGATTGTGCTAAGAGCACCAACAGACATAGACGTGGAAGAGGGTGGACAAAAGACCTGGCTTCTTTGGACATGCAGTACTCACATCTCCTGGACTCACCCACAAGGTTG